AATAAATCAGCATTTATAAAACTGACTAAATCAAGCTAACTAAACTTGAATTGACTATATATAAATGATCTTGAGCTAGTTGGATTCATCTCATCGGGCCGCTCAATTTGACTATAAAGATATACAAACAAATTTAGAGATCATTTGGTTTTCCAATTGATATACAAAAGTTTTCAAATATTGTTCAAACCCTTGATTTGGGCCAATTCGGTCTCAAATTGGACCATTTTTTATGTCGCTCGGTTCGTCTCATCGAGACATTTAATTTGAGTACAAACTTGTTAAAATCAGAGCTCAGATGGTCTCAATTTTATATTTTTATTTTTTGAAGTGTCATAATCAAATATGCCTAGAGATTTGTACCCTACAAAGGCAAAAATAAAGTATAAACTTTGGTTGCATGAAAGCTATTATAGTTTATTGTTTGAACAAAATGGTTAGAAGTCCTGATAATAGAAAAAGATTTTTAAAATTTGTTCATAAAAGAACTTATAATTTAGTTGCAAGATAAATTATATGGTGGTGATTGTAAATACATCTTTGTTCCTTATCCTCATCATCATAATCCTTATGTCAAGTTTATTTGGATCAGCTTTTAGTGGTTATAATAGACACACTTTTGAAATTTGATCATCTTAAAAAGTCTAATATTTTTTGACACATTGGAGAAAAGGAATTCACATGATTAACTGAATGTAATTGGATAAAAGATTGTTGTTGCTGTTCCAATAAAAAGTTTTATAATTTTTCACAAGAGATTTTGACCTCAAATTTCAGATTGCTAGAAATTGATCAATTTCTTGGTCAAGATGTTAATTCTAGTGAAATGGTTGAAATAGAACTTTTGGTCTAGAAAGCAGCTCAAACAAATAATTTGATTGTGGCTCTATATGGGACGGCTTTTTTATTACTTCTTTAGTACAAAAAATAAAAAATTTACACTAAAACTCTTTTTTTAGAAGTAATAAAAAAGCCGTCCCAAATGAAGCCTGTATCAAAGATGATAATTAATGGATGCCTGGCATAACCAAGAAGTATAAAGCGAATACGATGGTTGTAGTATTAATTGTCTCATTGGGATATGTTTTGGTAGAAATCAAGAAAAAGGTTTGATGTAATAGGATTTTATGCAGAAGAGAGAAGTAAGCATCAGGCCATTTTAGAAACTTTTTTGTGAGAGGGTAGGAGGGAGGAATCTGCCTTTTGGCAGTGGCCTAATATAGATTTAACACAGATAAGCAATGTCAGAGGAGAACGAGAATTGCTCTACTAATGAATGTCATGATGAAATGTTGCCAAGGTATAATTAGAGGGCAATTATTCAATTTAATATTGTTTTAATAGCTACAACCTTTCTAATTCATGATTATTATGCACTATATTTGGACAAGAGACCATGCTTGACATCAGGTCAAACTGGAGATAAATGACTTGATGAGTTGCTTTCTGACCATCTTGTTAGGTTTGAAAATATTTTCATAATTCCATAGTTAATTTTCAAGGACTTGTTTTCATATTTGAATCATGTCATAACATCCATGCATCACATAAAATGAATATAAGAGAGGTCCTTGCACTTACATTATTCATTTTAGAACACAATGAATCAATTAGAGCAATAGCTAAGAGATTCCAACACTCTACAAAAATAGTGATTAGATATTTCACTATTGAGATTGAAGCCTTAGTTCACCTTTCAGTGGTCATTATTGAACCAAAAGATAAGAACTTTTAGAATATTTGTACATATTAATAAGAACATGAGGCGTACGTCATATTATAAAGACTACATCGGGGTAATTGATAGAATTCACGTTGATGCACGTACACATCTGTGTGGAAGATCAAATTGATTTGATAAGCCAACATCATAAACTTACTTATAATGTAATTATTGTACGTGATTTTGATATGTGATTCAAATTTATCACAGTCGGATGGTAAGGTTTACTCATGATGCTCATATTTTTCAACATGTTGTGATAGATCGTAGATGTCATTTTCATATACATCCACCAATTAAGTTTTGTCAATACATGAACATTATATTATTTATATTATTGTATGTGATAGAAGTAATAAATTTATTAGCAAGGAAATATTACTTGGTTGATGCAGCTTATTCTCTTCAAAGAACATTTCTTAAGCCTTGCCAATATATCATTTATCAAATTTTGTATGAGACATTCAACCTCATTACAAAGTGCAATTGAAAATGCATTTAATGTTTGGAAAAAAAATAGAAAATTCTAAGAGATATGCAAAATTACTCATTTAAGAAACGTCTTATAATTATAGCTACGATGGCATTACATAATTATATGCATATATATAACTCATGGATTGATTTAGATTTTGATGAATGTGAGATTGATGAGAATTTTATTTATTTAGATGCACATGAGTATAGAGTTCCAAAAAATTTGACCAAATTAGTTGTTTGTATAACAATGAATACTTAGTCGATGGTAAAGATGAAAATGAAATTATTAAACTTAGATATAATATTATAATTGATATAATTGTAATAGGTATTTCACTTACATTCACAAAGTTAAGTAAATTTGGATGTTGAAGTAGTTGTGTTTTTTTTTTTTTTAAATATTATTGCTTTTGATGAAGGATGTTCTAATTCTAATATTTTGTTTATATATTTTAGGTTAGATGATGAAATATGATGATAAACATGGAAAATTAAATAAGTTGATTTCTTTTGTTTGTTTTGTTTGCTAGAGTTTAAGCTTATGTAAGTAGCATTATTCTGTTGAGTTAAAAGCTTGTCGTAGTTGCATATACATTTATGTGCTAGTTGTAATTGTATTTTGGAGTGGAATCTTTATGACATTTCAAATGCTAATAGTAATGATACATCAATTATCATACTATCATTCTAGTGGAAAATATTAATTTCAAGTCTATTTTTGCATGTTAACAATTGTGTACATATATTGAATATAATGATAAATGATGGTTTAAAAGAGATTTGAGATGATATTCATAATAATTTAAAGTTTCTTATATGAAAAATTTATATGCATTGTTAGTTACACAATTTTGTATAATTGACAAAGCATGTGAGAGCTTCCACATCAAAAGATTTCAAGGATGATTCTGATCCCTATGATTTCCTTGATTTGAAGTATGTTAAAACTAAGTTGCGGTAATTAACTTCACTGTATCAGTTAAGATTATTAATATGTTGTTAGACTTGTCTACTACTTCATGATCCCAATTATAATTATTGCCTCTACTAGTATTCATCGCTTCTTTTTTATAAATAAAAAATATTCATTTGCAAGTAAAATTTGGAACCTTATCTAATATTGTTTTATCACTGATGATCTTGAATATGCCAAGAGGGTTACTGAGGAAATCTATAAAAAAAAAAAAAAAAAAAAAAAAAAAAAAAAGTTACTGAGGAAATCTATAAAAAAAAAAAAAAAAAAAAAAAAAAAAAACAAACAAACAAACAAACAAAATAAGCTCATTGTCTAATTATTAGAACAAATGTTGAGAATCTTCACATTTTTTAACTTAAAAACAATGCATATTTAATCCTCATGAGGCTGAGAAGGCTTCTTTTGATGAAGCTGAGAAAAAGAGTGAAGAGGAGTTATGATTCTTGCAACCTTCATGATACCCAAATATTTCTTGAGTTCTACCTAAAACATGAGGTTTATAACTCTCGGTTGTAATGTTTATCCAACAAGAGAAAGTTGAGGGTTAGAAGGATGACATAGATAATGATGAGGATGTGAGTTCCTTCATATCAAGTCTCCTATCATATTGGTATTAATGAAAATCCCTCATTCATCACAAGGCGAGGCTAATGGTGATGAATCTAATGTTCACGATGCCAAGGAACATCATGATAAGGATGATGATAAAGATGAAGAGAACAAGCCATCGTATATGTTCCAATCCTTGCTTCATAAACTACAACTTTGTTTTAAATTACTATTTGTATTTGACCACAAAGAACAAGAGCATAATCAATAAGTTTACTATATTTATAACTCTATGGTGTATTTTTTATCAGAACAAAAATTTAAAGAATCCACTCCTTCTATATAGTCTATGCCATGTTTAATGGCCTAATTTCAAATACAATATAGATGGTTAGATAAGACTCTTGTTTTATGAATTGAAGCTTATTGCTTTGTATTCTTCTCACAAATTAATTTGGCTTAATTTGTTTAAAGGGTAGATAAGATCATAATTATTTTAAAAATGAAGAGTAGTGTTTTCCAATAATTTGTTTTGAGATTTAAGTATGATAAATTATTTATAAATAGAAATAATAAGTAATTTGGATGATTTAAAAAAAAAATGATAATCATGATTTTTCTTAAGTGTAACTCATTGTTATGCAATTATGATATGTTGTGCTATTTGAGATTATAGTTAATAATCTAATATTACTAAGCATAAATTAATTTGATTTTTGAGATACTTTACTAAAATGAATGAAATTTTTTTATTTTTAGTAAAGGGCTAAGATTAAAATATTAAAATTAATAACATAAAAAGAGCATTTAAAAAGGTTTCTATGTTAGTTATTTTTCTTTAGAAATAAAAAAAAAACATATAATTAATTTTGACAAGAATAATTGAATCTTTTATAACTAAATTACTTTATTAAAAATTGTTTGGTTGTGCTAATAACACAACCAAACAATTTATAAATATTGTTTAATTTACATAAACATATTATAAACAATCTAATTAAATAACAGCCAATTCTTTTAAACAATATTTCTTAAAGCATCGTTTTCTAAACAACCATTTCTCAGCAAACTTCTACAAAAAAGGCGTAATGCAACGAAAGGAAACTCTGAATTGAATTGACTAGATTTAGCTTGAATTGAATAACTTCAAAACAGACGGCATCGTATAAAAACAATGGCATGATTAGGAGGTGTCAACAAACCTTTGAAGCACATACCAAGGCAAGAGAGTAAGAAGCTGTATAAACAAGTATACAAAGAGATTTGAAAAGCTTTCCAAAAAACAAACTTTATGATTCAACCGACAGTAACCATTATGTAACCAAGAAATACAAAGTTTTTAGCCCCAACTAAATCTAAAACTTCAACAACAGAAAGCAAATAAATTTTTACATCTCAGAACGCCCATGCCTTCTAATCCCCAACGCAAACACAAACCCTAGATCCCATACCGCATAAAGTAACAAATAGCAGAAAACAACATAGAGAGAAAATCAACCTCCAAATCCATAAAGAGTACGACCCTGGCGCTTGAGAGCGTACACAACGTCCATGGCGGTCACGGTCTTACGGCGAGCATGTTCAGTATACGTTACAGCATCACGAATAACGTTCTCGAGAAAGATCTTCAGCACTCCTCGTGTCTCCTCATAGATCAGACCGCTTATGCGCTTAACCCCACCACGGCGAGCTAGGCGGCGAATAGCTGGCTTAGTAATGCCCTGAATGTTGTCGCGGAGAACCTTTCGGTGGCGCTTAGCCCCACCCTTGCCGAGCCCCTTACCACCCTTTCCCCTCCCAGACATGGCCGAATCAACTTCTTTGGTTCTGTCGCAGGAGATTAGTGTTACAGAGCAGAGCAGATGACGTATGCTTCCTGACGACGGAGAGATATTTATAGTAGTTAAGGGAAATTTTGGGGCAGATGAATTGGGCGGGAAGAGGAGATCTGGATTGAATATGGATTTTTTGTGTGGGTTGCGGATCGATGACGTGGCAAGTAAAAGAATGTGGATTTGAACGGTTGAGATTGATTTACTCTTTGACATTTGAAAGAAAGGAATCTAGGCCGTTGCGTAAAAGAATTAAGGAATACTTGTAACTCGTTAAACGGTACGGCAGTCCATATGGCTTATGGCCACGTAGGTTGAGAAGAACATATTAGCAAGGGAATTAATGCATGCGACATAATGCTAGTAAAAAAAAAATTATTCGTTATAGCATAAGGTGTTGTTTTGAATTAAAATAATTAAAGTTTAAGTAAATAATATAAATGAATTAGATTAAAATGTTAATTTGACATTGCATATGTATATTTTTTCTTTAAGAGACTATTTTGTTTGAAGTAAATTGGATATGAAATAAATCATTTACATAGGTTTTGAAAATATTGATGTTTCATTGTATGAAAAGAAAATTATATATATATATATATATATATATAATACCATAGAGCCCTCATTCTACACCAAGGGGAGTCAAGTGAAGAGAGAGAAGAAGAAGAGGAGAAAGGGGAAAAGAAGATTCCTCACCTCCTCGACCACCACCGGAGCTCTTCCTGCCGCCTGAAGACGCCGGAACTCTGCCGGATTTTCGGAAAACGCAGAGAATTTGTAGAATTTTGTAAACTTCTTGGGAGAAACAAATTGTATTCGGATTATCCCAACTTGTGGGACGAATCCGTCATTTGTAATCTACAAAAACACTAGTGGAACTTTACAACTAGGCGAGGCCCCGTGATTTTTTTTCCTTTTTGGGTGTTCCACGAAAAAACTCTGGTGTTCACTTCTCTTTCCTGCTTGTGTGTTAAATTTACGTGCAACGCTCGGACGTGAATCTACAAACTCTACCGCTGCGTATTTTCTAACACGCAACAGTTTGACGCCGTCTGTGGGAAACACTATCCCATAACTTCAAGTGTCGCTGCGATGGTTAACAGACGTAGCAGTCGCATCGTTGGAGCTTCTCGCTCCAACTCCCATCAATCAAAAAATCAGTCTGAGAATCACAGACGCCCAACATCTGCCTCTTTTCACCCTGGGGGGCAGAATGCTGCCGGAGAAGGGACTTTGTGACCTTCTTTAGAAGAAAAAATACGGAAGATGGAAGAATCTCTAAACGATATCCTCCAACTACTGCGAGATTATCGACAGCCGACATTGGAGGAGATCCTTCTCCCTCGGGATCCACCAAGGGTTGAAGATATTCAATTCTAGCATCGTCAAGAAGAAATTCATCTTCCTCCACCTAGGAGACATCCTCAATCATAACAGGAAGATGAACTTGTCAATACAGCGAGTTCAACACATCCTTCCCCCTCGACTCGGTAGCCTCGCATTTTTTCGGAACTCCCAGAAGGCTCTCCCCAACCACACATTGTGGGACTCCCTCACAATTTCCTGCGTCGTGAACTGCGAAAATTGGTACGGGAAGAGTTCCCCCGAGGTGATGTGAGGCATGCTCTCCGATAAAGGAATTTTCAGGAGTCATCACCTCTAACTGAAGCCATTTTTCAGCACCCCATTCCGGTCGGATTCAAAGTGCCAAACGTTGAGTCCTACGACGGGATGACCGACCCGTATGAGCATATTGACTACTACAGAATCATCATGCATATTCAACGTGCATCAGAGGCTCTCTTCTGCCAGGTCTTTCCCGCCACCCTTAAAGGATAGGCCCGAACGTGGTTCTACTCGCTTCCACCTGGAACGATCCCCTCTTTTGTCAAATTGGCCAAAGTATTCGTTGAACAATTTGTGGTCAATCGAAGAATTGCTAAGGATTCTTCCCACCTCTCCGGGATCCGCCAAAATGAGAGAGAATTGTTGAAGGAGTATTTTCAACAATTTTTCGCTGAAGCACGATAGATTCCGGGAGTAGACCCTGAATTACTCAGAGGGGTCTTTCTTGGAGGTCTTCGTCCTGGCCCCTTCTATTCGGCCCTTATACGAGACACCGTCCATTCATACGCTGACTTAATCTCTGCAGATGAAGCTATAAATGGTCACGGGAAGCAGTTTGAGCAAATCAACGGGAAGTGCAAAGGTGCACCTGAGATGGATAATTCTTTCTCGCAGCAGAAAAAGCATGGAAAGAATAATCTACCTCATAGGTCTTCGTCACCACGATGGGAACCCCGACAGGAGAAGGAGTATACCCCACTCAATACGTCTCGAGCAAATGTATTGATGGCCATTCGAGATCAAGCGAGATCAAGATACAATAAAATGACCAAACCCTTTGAAGTCGAACACAGGAAATACAGATCAGTACTGTCACTTTCATCGTAGCCGTGGTCACACTACCGAAGCCTGCAAGCAACTCAAGGATGAGATTGAAAGGCTTATCCGCCAGGGCTACCTTCGACAATTTATTCAAGATTCACCTACCAGAGAGGAAGCTCATCCCGCTGGGGGGCAAAGACAACAACAAATACAACCATTGAATACTATTCCAATGGTTGGAGATAATTAATGATCATGCACTTAGCGGATTTGTATTAGTAATTCTGTTTGTTTTGTTGTCTATTGTATGTTGAGTAGGTGTCACTTTGATACCTCTAATATCTTCATCCAAGTTAAATGTTGTTGTATTGTCACCATACGTAGATCTTGTCTTATGAGTACTTTGTAATTTGTAAGTCGTACTAGGGAACTATTGTACTATCTTACATAACGCAGTAATAGAATGTTCATATTGTTGTGATATGATTTTTTCTCTTATGAAAGATAAGAAAAAACTTCTCAAACTCCTTCTCCGTGATTCGAGAAATACACAATCCATATTGTATCTCAATCACCGGACGATCAATCCTAGGGGGATTTGATCCGACCTCATCCACACAGGTTAACGTTGTCGAGCAAAGGCTTCGACATACAACCTCGGATAGGTCTTACATCCTTGGTGGATTCTCTCGGCCTCTTCCACACAGGTTAATGTCATCGAACAAATGTTCTAACATACAACCTCGGATAGGACTTCTACCCGACGTCAGACTTCTCCCTGGCATCGAATTTCTGCTCGTCAGCTGACTCCTACTCGTCGTCGGACTTTTGCTCGTCGACAAACTTTCGTCGGTCTTCTACCTGACATTGTACTTCTACCAGACGTCGAAATTCTTCCTGTCGTCCGACTTCTGCTCGTCAGCGGACTCCTACTCATCGTCGAACTTCTGCTCGTCGACGAACTTTCATCGGTCTTCAATCCGACGTTGAACTTCTACCGGACGTCGAACTCTTACTCGTCGTCGAACTTCTGCTCGTCGACGAACTTTCATCAGTCTTCAATCCGACGTTGAACTTCTACCGGACGTAATCGGACTTCTACACGTCGACGAACTTTCGTCGGTCTTCAATCCGACGTTGAACTTCTACCCTACGTCGGACTTCTTCCTGTAGTCGGACTTCTGCTCATCAACAGACTCCTACTCGTCGTCGGACTTCTGCTCGTCGACGAACTTTCGTCGGTCTTCTACCCGGCATTGAACTTCTACCCGACGTCGGACTTCTTCCTGTCGTCGGAATTATGCTCGATAGCAGACTCCTACTCGTCGTCGGACTTCTGCTCGTCGACAAACTTTTGTCGGTCGTCTACTCGACATTGAACTTCAACTCGACGTCGGACTTCTCCATGTCGTTGGACTTCTGCTTGTCAGTTGACTACTACTCGTCATCGGCTTCTCGCTCGACTGCTACTCGTAATGCACCCTCGAACTCTCTCCTTTGGCTCCACGCTCGATTGTTGACTGCAAATGGGCGTCAACTCGATCGTCCATCGCTAGCAAACTTCTGCTCAAATGGCAAAGAAATCCCGTAAGCTTCTGCTCGCGAGGAGGGGCGCTAATTCGAGCAGGAGAAATTTTATGCTCGCAAATAGCGGAAGCCTCAACCGCCAGAAAGCTGGAGGGAGTAGAAGAAATCCCGTAAGCTTCCACACGCGAGGAGGGGCGCTAATTATAGCAGGAGAAAATTTTTCGCTCGCAAATAGCGGAAGCCTCAACCGCAAGAAAGCCGGAGGGAAGAAAGAAAAATCCCGTAACTCCTGCGCGTGAGGAGGGGCGCTAATTCGAGCAGGGAAAATTTCCCTCTCGCAAATAACGAAGCCTCAGCCGCTAGAGAGCCGTAAGGGAGGAGAAAAAACCTGTAACTCCTGCGCGCGAGGAGGGGCGCTAATTCAAGCAGGGGAAATTTCCTGCTCGCAAATAGCGGAAGCCTCAGCCTCCAGAGAACCGTGGGGGAGGAGAAGAAATCCAGTAACTCCTGCGCGCGAGGAGGGGCGCTAATTCGCGCAGGGGAAATTTCCTGCTCGCAAATAGCGAAAGCCTTAGCCGCCAGAGAGCCGTGGGGGAGGAGAAGAAATCCCATAACTCCTGCACGCGAGGGGCGCTAATTCGAGCAGGGGAAATGTCCAGCTCGCAAATAGCGAAAGCCTCAGCCCTCCAGAGAGCCAGAGGGAGAAAGAAAGAGAAGATACAAGTTTTTCTAAAGGCCTAGGGGGCCTATTTATAGGTTTTGGAGAGAGTAGTAGGGAGTTATTGCCATTTTCAAATTTTCCTATTTTTCTAATTTTTTTAGAATTTTTTGGGATTTTTTCGGAATTTTTAGGACCCAAAAAAGGCATCTTTTCGCGTCTATGGGGCCCACTAAGGCGGTGGGCCGAACCGCCTCTTCTCTCTCCTCGAAACCGCGAGGACAGAGCACAGATCCACGGGCATTCCATGCGGATAGCAACTCAACGGGACCTCTATAATGAAGTTCGAGCAAGATGTTAATTTTTGGAACGCAATTTTTGGCGTTCTGGCTGATACAAATTTTTTAAACACATATTTCCAGACTCCTAGTGCTTCGACG